AGTCCTAGGTTTAAGACGCATCTTACCTCGGGTTTTTGTGGTCTCTCGGGTTCCTTACGCCATGCTTGGCCTAAACTTTTTACAGCACAACGGTCAAATCGTAGATCCCCGTAAGCGACAAATTAGAGACCAAGTCACTTCTAGGGTAATCTTCGGTTCCATGGTATATTCGGAAACGCAGAATATACAGCCCGCTTTTCCACACGATGATTCACCATATTCATAGTTATTCCGCGAGTTCCCTAGCCTCGTCCGCTCCAGCACCGAGCTCCAATCTATCACAAAGGAGGCGTCGCACCACACCGTCACACAATGTCCACCGGTCCACCCACGTGCCCGTCGACTAGCACCAGATACGTTACGCACTGCACGCGCAGAGTTTCAGCACATGCTGAACGTGGGTATCATATACCCCTCTGAAGTCCATGGAAATCCCCTCTATATATCGTTCCCAAATTTTGTCCAGCGACTGGCGTACATGTAGAGACTATCATCCACTCAACCGTGTGACAACCCCAGATAGGTACTCGATCCCCCACGTCACGGATCTCACGTTAGACCTAGCCAGTAGAACTCTTTCCAGCCACATTGATCTGATTCGCGCACACAACCAGATACCAGTAGCAGAAGCGGACATCCCAAAACAGCCGTGGTCATACTGTTTGGTCTATTCGAAGTCCTCCGAATGCCATTCGGTTTAAGCAACACGGCACAGTGCTTCAAACGTTTTATTCGCAACGTTTGTAGACAGTTAGACTCGGTTTTTGTTTACTTAGGCGATATCCTAGTGGCTAACTCATCGCGTGGAAAACATCTGACACACCGCCGAGCACTTGTTCATCGTTTGGTGCAGCACGGTGTCATGGTCAATGCCCAAAAATGTGTTTTCTGTGCCTCCAACATTGATTTCCTCGGTCACCGCATCACAGCTATTGATAAACAGTTATTAAGTGACAAAATTCAAGCGGTAATAGACTACCCGGAGTCCACCACGTTTAAGCAGCTCCGATGTCTCGACAGTTTATTCAAATTTTATCGGCATTTCATCCCTCAGTGTGCACAACTTATGCAGCCACTCACTGATCTACTTAGGGGTAAAGCAAAAACGGTAATGTTCACACAAGCCGCTCGAGACGCTTTATGTGCGTTGAAGAAAGCAATCAGCAGCGTCCCCACATGGACCCACCTAGGTCCCTCTGCCAAACTAGCACTCGTCACTGATGCGTCTGACCGCGCACTTGGCGCCGTCTTCCAATAACAAGTGAGACAGGAATGGCAATTCATGGCCTTTTTCTCCAAAAATCTCCAACCGGCATAGTCAAGATACAGCACCTTTGGTCGAGAACTCCTAGCGATCTACTCAACCTCTTCAGTATAACAGCTTGCACAAAGTCCTATCCTTCCGGTTTGTCTTGAAGTCTTGAAGTATTACACGGGTGCAAGGCTAAGCCCAATGGTCCCGGATCTTAAAAGTTTCCAAGGTTTCTTCTCGAGACGGATTTTAGGTAATTAAAGTGGATACGCGTCCTGTTTGTACAAGAAGGTCACATAAATGAGTTTAAAGGAGGGGAGAGAGGTGCAGTATCTGCATGCAATGCAAGAAATCGGGAAGTACAGGAAAAAAACAGAACATGATATAAATAACGCTGAGGCAGGGGGGGTGCTTACCGTTCAGGGATTAGACCAAGATGCAGAACTAGATTACCTTTGAAAGCGGATCTTGTGGGGGCAATAACTACTTCATCGGGGAGGCTATTCCAAGGAGGAACGACCCTGTGGGTGAAAAAGCACTGACGGACTAGTGTAAGGGCACGCGGTTTGAAGAGTTTCATGCTATGCTTACGAAGATTGTCCGTGTTAGTGCGCACAAAGAAGTCATCAACCCTGCCCGAATTGAATATACTTTACAATAGGAAGATGTCACCTCTTATTCGGTGGGTTTCAAAGGGGATACAGGTTCAAGATGGAAAGACGTGTAGAGCAAGGAATGGATGATAAGCCATGCACAAGTTTTGTCGCTGTCCGTTGTACACGCTCCAGGGTCTTACAATCGCATACCAGGCGGAAGTGAGCAATTTGACTCCAGTATTCTAATAAGGGTCTGACTTACGTGCTACAGAGAATCTGAAAGTCATCTCTNCTTTTTATTCTAGGAAAAGAACGTCTTAGGAAGGTAGGAATACGGAAGGTGGATCTACTGGCTTTTGTTAGCGTTAAGAGGACGAAAGTGACCTGGTCAGCCAGAAACCAAGGAACTGGTGGTGTTCTACACCGTCCATAGTCATGGAAGCGTTAGCGCTGAAGCTATGTACAAGAACCCTCCCGAACGCATTTGTCGTCGTTTATTGGTAGGTTCCAGGCAGCAGATCAGTCTTTGACTGCATCCATTGCTGACTGAACAACCACCGTGTTGGTGCCCCAAATTGTCACATCATCAGTGTACATTGCTACGTTGACTGCGATCCTGTATGACAGGTTATTATAATATAAAAGGAAGAGGAGGGGGCCGAGGACGGAACATTGCGGGACTCCGGTAGAAATGTGGGAGTCAGATGAAAATGATGAACTTACGCGAACCGAGAAGGCGCGGTTCGTGAGAAAATCCCGAAGAAGGGCGAGGAGTCTGCTACTGAGGCCATATGACTCGGGCTTATAGAGTAAGGGAGCGTGATGGACACGATCAAAAGCTTTTGCAAAATCAATGAAGATTGCGTGAGGAATCAAGCCGTCATTATGGGCTTGTGTCAGACTGTCCATAACAGACAGCATATTGGAGATGCAGGATCTGCCAGGGAGAGAGCCGTGTTGGGTTTGAGAAAGAAGCTGATTGTTTGTTAAGAGTTTTAGAATTGTCCTTTTTAAGACCCGTTCAAAGACCTTGCTGGGCACGCTAGTCAGGCGAATGGGTCTATAACTACTTGGAGTTTGTCAATCCCCTTTTTTAAATTGGGGGATATGATGCCACTCTTTCAAGATGAAGGGAATATTTCAACATCTAGACACTTCTGGAAAAGGGCGAAATAGTACAGGGCAAGAACCGAGGCGGCTTCTTTTAACACTCGAGGGTGCATGACGTCTAGTCCCATGGAACTAAAGGAATTCAGGAATTTGATGAGTGATTCGGTCTCTCCTGGAAGAATGAGGAAATGTTCTAATGGAGGCAGTGCATTAAGAGAGGGAAGATTGGGATGGGAAGAGACAAAATGAATATTAAAGGTGGATTCATAATGGGACCAAAAAATCTCAGCTACCTGAGCAGTGGCGGTTACAGGAGAATGATCAGATAGCTTTAGGGCTAGTGCAGAGGGGGTTGATTGCCTTTTACGCCGAAGTGACTTAAATAAGGAATTAGGGTTACTTCTAGCACGAAGAATAATTGCTTTCTGTTGTCTATTGTGGAATTCCTTAACCCTCTGCTTGCACAAGTTGCGGATTCACTTAAACTCGATAGCATCGGAGTTGAGCCCAGTACATTATAGTCTAGCAAAGGAACGGGCCCGCTCGTCCATTAGGTGCCGAATGGAGCGAGATAGGGGAGGCCTATGGTCAGGTACAGATTGAAGTCTAGGAATAAAAAGGTGGTCCGCCTCGTAAATTAGACTCGCAAGCAACTCAATTAGGTTGTTCGGGTCAGTATCAAAATTGTACGAGCCCAGCCTGTTAGCTAGGAATTCTCGTAAGAGAACAAAATCGGCTCTTTTGAAGGAACGTAGCATTCTGGAAGGGAGCCTGCTAGTTGGCCAGCGGATAATATAGTCAAAGGAATGCAGGAGGTGATCACTTTTACCAGCAGGACTTAGGTACGAGATCATGTCGATCTGGCATCGTTCGTTGGTAATCGTAAGATGAAGCAAAAAGGGACGTTGGCCGACACGGTATCTCGTTGGAGATACTACGTGTTGGAACCACGAGTGTTCGTTGAAGAGTTTTATAAGGACTGCACCAAAACTTCTATCTTTGAAGTGGCATCTGGGCCAGTCGATAATCAGGGCGTTGAAATCGCCCAGGATAAGGTGTGAGAAAGTGCAGGTGGGATGGAGGTCGCGAAGCTGAGTTAGAAGTGATTGACATTCCTCCTGTGTGCTTGATGGGGAGCAATAAACAACCCCAGGAGGAGTGAATCCCTGCTAGGGAAGACGGCATTGACCCAAAGGGTCTCGATCGATTGAATCGTAGGAAGGAAAACACGCAAAGCAGGAGAGAGGGAATCAGTAAGGAAGAGAGTCACTCCACCCGCATGACCACGGTTTGTGTCTTGTATAAACAAGGTGTAACCATCCATCATTATTTCACCATCTAGTATATCCGTAATTAGCCACATCTTAGTTAGGGCTATTACGTGTGGCTTCTTATCGTGCGCCAATTGTCGCAGTTCAAAGATCTTATTAGTTATACTGAGGCATTTGGTTGATACGCACTTCAGCAACTTCTCACTATACATTTCAGCAGCTCTAGTAGAATGACAGGGAACTTGGGACAGCTTTAGAGTGGTCTTTCGACCTTTTTGCTCCGAGAGGGTCGTGGCACCCGTGAGAGCTTCTTGGAGGTTGGTGTCATGTGTGCCATGTTTGGCGTCCATGTTGAGTGGTGGCGAGCTAGACTAACCAGTTTTCTGGGGTTTCGTTCTGTCTGGTGGGTGGAAGCGTTCTACTGGAGGTAGAAAAATGGGTTTGGGGGTCTTACTTTTCTTACAGTCCTGTCTTGGCGTTCGCTCTCGGAGCGACCTGGCGACACTTGCCAACAATTAAGGTTTGGGCGTAGAGAGATTGTTTCTTAGGTTTTTAGTTTTAGAAAAATAAGATTTAGGTTGCACCGGTGTATGGGCTGGGGGTATTTCCTTAGGTGGTGGATTACCAAGTATCCTCTTCATCCCAGCTAATGGTCGAACGGTCGGCACCTTGATTGTGCCTTTGACCTGCTTTGCTGGAGCGTGGGCTGGTTTCATAGGTGATAATAACTTGTGGTTGAGGATCCCGACTATGATTGGTTCCTCCGTGGTTATGTCGGCGAAGGTTGCGTCGGGAGTGCTGGCTATTGGTAAGGCAAAGCGTAGATTCTTGTCCATTTTTAGAGAGAAGATTTGTGGTACCTTCTCAATATCCAGTCGCGTGAGATTGACTGTTGCACGCACTTGCAGTTTCTCATCTATTTTTAGGCCACCAGGTTTTATGTCAGGAAATCTGACATGAAGAGGAATGTAGTGGGCTACCCCTGTGACATATTTACATCTCTTGATTATATTCGCCTGAGCAAGACAGTTGTAATCTGGCTGAACTCGACCACGATACCTGTGATCGTTTTCTTGGTTTATGTTCGAAGATATGAACACCTGATTGGGTTCAGGATCTCCAGTGATTTGAGGCTATCCAGAATTTTCTTGACCCTATGAGCTGGAGGTGCTCCTGCTGGAAAATTCCCCCATACTATCAAGCGTTTACTGCATGGTTCTGTCTCAAACAGCTTATTGGTGTCTAAGATGATTTGGTCTAATATCTCCAGGGTCATTTTACTGGCTTTGATNGTGATCGTTTTCTTGGTTTATGTTCGAAGATATGAACACCTGATTGGGTTCAGGATCTCCAGTGATTTGAGGCTATCCAGAAGTTTCTTGACAGTATGAGCTGCGGATGTTTCTCCTGGGAACTTCACTCAAATTGTCATGCGTTTTTTGCATGCCTCTGTCTCAGACAGCTTACTGGCGGTGTCCAAGATGATTTGGTCTGATACCATGAGGGTAATTTCACTGGCTTCAAATTGGGGAGAGAGACCCACAAGTAATGCCTTCACCTCTACCAACTCAGTCCCCAGTTTGGCAACTTTTATCTTTATGTTAAAGGCTGCCTAGCTCTAGGATAAGATCATCCTGTTTTCTGTCCCTGAGGAGGTGTTGATTACCATGTTGTCAAGACGCATAAGTAAAGTTTCCTGGTCCAGAGATACATCCCAGATTGAGATGCCACCGTTATTTCCTGCCATCATTCTAAGAGAAAGTTGTGATATATGAAAAATGCGAAAAAGCACCAAGTGGGAGATACAGTAGAGTGCGTACGAAGTTTTGACCGATCGAAGCACTAAGAGCCGCGACCAGACACGTGATACCAAATGTGTCAGAAAAAGGAATTGTAGAAAATAAGTCGATGGGATATTTCGAAAAAGTACACTTTTAGTTTCAAAAAACGAGTTATCAGAGCGGGCACTGAAAAATTTCAACTTGGTCAAATAGCAGTCTTTCTTTTTCACTCCATAACCATGTAGACAGAAAATCTGCCTTCCATGTTCTTCACCTTTTCCGAAGCTCTTTCCCACATATCACCAAGAAAGACCTGCTTATTTATGGCACCTATATCCGTCCCGTTCCAGAATATGGTATTCAAGTTGTTCAATCTGGCCTGATCCGTGATCGTGCTACTCTTGAAGGAGTTCAAAGAGCGGCAACAAAGGCGGTGATTGGAATGAAACATCTTCCTTTTCCTAAACGTCTAGTGGCGCCTGATTTGCATCCTCTTAACGTCATGCGAATTAAGGGTGACTTATTTCTTCTACACCACCTGTTCTCCTCGGGCTTAGTAGATAAGTTCTTCACTCTGGCCCCGACGGGTTGAACACGGGCTAGTAGCAAAACGTTATACGAACCTCAACTCCGTACCGCTCCTCGGACATCTTTCTTCACTTTCAGGGTAATTTCACACTGGAACGCAGTGCCAGAAGAAATAGTTTCTTCAACATGCAAAGCGTCATTCAAGTCTCGACTTGATAATTATTTAGGTCTAATTGCCTCCTTTTAAGCCTTCCTCCAAAAAAGCAAAACAAAACAAAAATACAATAGCTCTTTTTATATCTTTATGCCGTTGCCCATTTGTTATAGCACATTGTAACCTTTATCAATGATGTTCCCAGAATAGTTAGTCCCCGGGCTAGACGATATATTGTTTTGTTCTGGTTTTGCAGTTACATCCTCCACGAACAGACAACAAGAAACCATCAAGGATCCGGTACCACTGGGCGCCAGCCTCAAACCCGAGAGTCACTTCAAGACTTCAAGACACCTTGATTACATCACACAATTTACGTGTGATATACGACATGTCTCNGATGTACGACATATCTCTGGTGTCAACAATCCTGTCGCGGATGCTCTCTCGCGCATCCACCATCTCGGTAACCCTTACCCAGAAGCCGTAGACTTACAGACTACAGCACAAATCGACGACACTGAAATCGAACAACTGCGCAAGTAGTCAACGCTCCATTTACCATTTACCATTTCCGTCCTCAGATAACAAAGTATATTGCGAGGTACCGGTAGGTTCTCCTAGACCATTAGTCCCATCTACCTTACGCAAAACGGTTTTTGAGACGCTGCATAATTTGTAACATCCAGGCATCTGCGCCTCAGTGAAACTCATCACTGATCGCTTCGCTTGGAACAACATCAAAAAGGACATACGCCA